CCTTAACCTGCACGACGCGTAGTCTCTTTACTCCATCAGGCCCGATAGTGCGATCCGCGCGGTTCCAACATCTTGTCCGCTCCCCAGACCTTGTGAAGATGTCTAGGTATCCTTTCCTTGCCGAATATCGTCCGTTCACGTCGTGTAGCTATGGGTCCCCAAGTATCATACTATCGCTTTGTGGTCCGATAATATAGGCAAATACGCGGCCTTGTTGCTGGCCGTGGACATCGAGGTCGAAATGGGTAATGTGGGTGATTCGGCACTGGTTCGGTACCACTCCGTCAAGGACTCGTGGCTGTATCTTAATGCGCGGAAGGTCGAGCGACTAGACTAAAGACTCGTTTACCGTTGCATAGCAGCGGCAGCCGCTATCGACGAGAGCTTGTGTAAATTGGATTCCATTCACTCTAGCATCGACTATAAACGGTAATGTCTCACGTTTAAGTAGCTTCTCGACCCCCTTCCGCTCCTACTCGCGGCTTAGAACAGGAGCTATTCTTTTCCCGAATCGTCCTCAGTAGTCACATCTTCGTTGTCGGAAGCCGTCGTGACTGACTCGCTATCACTTGTAGGCCTTGCCTTCTTCACATTGACCGTACGCTCACGTCTTTTCTTGCTCGAACTGGTAGCGGTACGTGTACTATTCGGCGGTTGCGCCGGTAGGAGTGCGCACCTCGCGATAAGGTGTCCGGATCTCCCGCATCGTAAGCATTTCCCTTCGGCCCGTCGCTTATCCAGTTCGTCCTAGCTGACCCATTTCGCTTGCTTAGGGTATTCCTTCTCGAATCGTTGGGGTTTCGTACGCGGTTCGGTACGGTTTACAGAGACAGTAGGGGTCCAGTCCATCTCGTCAGTCGTTCTCTTAGAGCGTGTATTCCGAGTACGATTAATATCCAGGGTGTCGTTGTCTACACTAATCTCGTGGAGTCGTGTGATTAACTCCGAAAAGGTACTAGGGACGCCGCGATACCGTAGCGTTTCGGTCATTTTTCGGTTAAGCGAAGCTAGCAAAACTTGCCGCTTAGGCTCGTCAGGCCATTCAAAAGCGCCTGCGTCAGCGAATTCCCTTTCTAACTAAGGTAGGAACCTCGCGAAGGACTGGTCTTCGCGTTGTCGTATTAGGTGAAGCCGTCTTGCTGCTCTTGCTTTGATGTTCGGGTCGCCATAGATGTTTTCGAGGTAGTCAAGAAGCTGTCGTGGTTCGCGGTCGTTTCGCTGTGTTTTCACGAACGAATTGGTGTTCTTTAGGGCTAGCTTTTCTAGCCGAGAGAAGACGTACGCGAATTGATCTTGTGGGCTCCCGATAGCTTCGCCGTCTACTGCTAGCTTGTTTTCCATCACTGTTCGCCAGGATGGCCACTCCGAAGAGCTCCCTGCAAACATCGCTGGGTCCGGTAGTCGTGGCCGAGGGCGTTGTATAGCTATCCCTGTTCTATCCTGCGTGACCTCGGTTTCGATTCGAGAGGGATTCGGCGGTGTTTTGCTAGGGATTGATATGTTCTGGAGTAATGCCTCAAGTTTTTCGATCCGTTCGTCTTGCGCGGTGTTCCGTTCGTTCTGTGCTGTGGTAGCACTCTCGTATACGGCGTGGCTCTGGGCGATTTGCTGCATTAATGTCTGAGCCTAACTAGGGGGACTAGACGATTCGCTATTTCTTGCCATTCTCTGCCGTGTGTAGCGGTTTATTCGTGCGTTCTTCGTTTCTCAATCGGCTTCGCGTCGAGGGTCCTATGGGTAGCGACCGGTACCGTTTCGGTTGCTATTCGCTTATATTCCGTTCCAATGTTCTAATGTGCCTAGGAATTGAGATCTTCTAGGGCTTTCCAATACGTCTCGAGCACTAAGGCCTTATACGCGAGGGTTCCGTTCCGTTGTGTGGCCGTCACTGAATCGCCGGGGATTCAGGGGTGTTTCTAATGAGCGCCTAGGTCGTCTTCCTAGGGCTTTCTAATAACCAGTGGTACTTCTAGGTGTAGAAGGAAGCTTTTTGTATGTGAGGGGCTGAAGTAAGACTTAATTCAATCTAACTAGGCCAACATGCTGTTTACAAAAAGCTTAGGGAAGAAAGGTTCGTCCCGCGTGTTCTCCATGTCAACATGCCAAGGTTCCGTGATACACGTGACCAATATCGGGCAACAGCCCGTGACATATATAGTCTTCGAATCGCTAGTAAACGATAGGAAGACGACGTGAAAGAGATACTTCTCTCACTAGGCTTTAAATCTTATCCTAAAGATCCTATACTTTACACCGATAATCGTATAGTTATTATAGTATTCATTAACGACTTCCTAGCTACCTACCACCGAAGTAAGAGCTTACACGCTCACCAGATAAAGCAACTTCTCTCATAACGCTTTAAGATAAAGGACTATAGCGAACTTACATAATTTATCGGTATTCGAATTATTAGAAACCGATAACAGCGAAAGACCTAGCTAAACCAATTAGCTTATATTAAAAAGATCGCTACTAAATTTAACCTCCTAGGCAGGAAACCGCCTAATACACCACTAGTCAGCAATTAATATCTTGATCTGATCACTAGTTAAATTAACTAATTAACCGTTAAACTATACTAGCAGAAGTATAGTTCGACCCTTTTCCCTACTATATAGACTAGACTAGACACCGCTTTTACTAATTAGCTACTAGCTAAATCTCTCACACACTATAATAAGAAGTACCTAGCTACTATCGACTACCTAATTTTATACCTATATAGGACGAAAGACCTAGCTATCTATTTTAGTGATAGCTAATCAGATTACCAGATCTTCACTACTTCGTCCGATATAAGCTTTACCGATAATCTTAATAGGAAGTTATCAGAAGGTTTCATCTTCTTATTATTTAGTGGTCTAATCGAGTAGAAATCTCGTAAGCAGAAGACGATTACCACGTTAACTACAGAAGCTAAATTACTAGCTATATCACATACAGCTAAATAGCTATACTAGGTTAAACGTCTCTTCTCATTCATCGAATTCAATACCGACTAACTAGAAGTGTTAAATTACGATAATAAGTAAACCGTTAACCTATTAAATCGCGAGAAATCAGTCTTTCAGACCAAACTTCGTCACGTAGATATCAACCGCCTATAGATTCGTCAAGAGGTATAGGCAAAGCGCCTATCTATCTAATAGGTCAAAACCACCGATATACCCGCAGACGGTCTTACTAAACGCCTACCTAGGCAGAAGCATAACGATTTCATCAGATAACTAGGCATAGAGATATCACCTCCTATCTAGTCCTTATTTTTCTCTTTTCTCTTATTTAGTTCTCACTTTGCTCTCATTCTTATCACACATCGAGAACTAAGGGGGTATATCAATATATAGATATTATAGGGTCACATGACGAAGGACCCACTCATATAACCCCTCTCTACATATAGATCTTCTTCTATAAAGATCTAACAGATTGATCCTCAACGATCTCGCATATGATTGCCTACCTAAGCAAGAGACTCTCAACACTCTGATTCTGTTGATTTATCATGTGATCTTTTGCTATGTTTCTTGTGATATAAATACTACTATATTACCTAGTTAAATTGAATCAAGTTTATCATCCTTTGTGATCTCTCTTCTAGGTCAGTGGTACTCTTCCACAATCGTGGTACTTCTCCTTCTACATAAGAAGTGCGCACGACCGATAGACTCATAACCGTGTATTCAGACACTACGTTGAGTATTTACTACCACGACTTTATGGTCACCGCCTAGAGTCCGACAATAGCTCACAGTTTTTCTCGAGATTATTATTATCTTACTAGTCTACTTAAGGCCTTCTATAGTAGAGATTAGTCTCCGCTATATCTAATTTAAGGTATCTAGCCCTATCTCTCTATATTTACCCTAACTAACTTATATAGTCTACTATACCTATAGTTTCCTAAATATAGGCTAGCGACTAAGTAGAGTTAAGTAGGGTAGAAGTAATACTACTAGACTAGCTAAAGGTTATAGTAGAGAGTAATATAGTTAAGGCTTATCGGTTCTATTACTATAGGGAAGGACGTGAAATAAAATTAAGACTTAACTACGTGAGAGATAACGAGCTATCTATAGAGGTAAGTAACTAACTCTCGTGAGGTAGTTATTAGAGGAAGAGGCCCTCCGTAATATCGGCATAGATATCATGTGAGGCTATATTATAAGGTAACCCTAATAAAACTACTTCCTTTATATAAAAATATAGGCTTAGCGGGACTCCTACGGAAGAAGTAAGAGATAAGGTCCTATAGGACTAACGGGACTTAGATCTATCCTATAGGAGTAGGACTAGATTTTTATAAGTCCTATAGGACTTATTATATACTATCTATAAGGTCGGGTATCTTATAACGAGTTAGTTAATAATATACTTAAAATTAGTTAGAACTTTTTAGGTCTATGTAAACCTTTTATAGCTACGCGTGAGCTAGGTACCCTTAATGGCTATATAAATAATATAGGTAGTACTAAAATTAGAGAGCTTAAATTTAAGGTAGGTATAGTATAAGAGTAACGAAAAAGGTCTTAAAAATAATAATATTTAATAGTGCTCGTAGTGAAATTTTTGTGACTATTAATATTTTAGAAATTAATAAGTAGCTCGATCCTTCACTCTTAGATATTAAATAGGAGATATATAACCCGGAGTATATCGTCTACTATCTTAAAGACCGCCATAAAGTAGTAGAATTAACGTAAGTATTACTTAAAGAATTATACGTAATACGATCGCTCTAGGAAGGAACTTTTCTTATATAAAAGTAATTCACAGTTTATCCGTAATATAGATCAATATAGTTTCGGTATCGGACCAAGAAACAAAGTTTAAGCATCAAGGGATAACTTGTTTTCGAGATCTTCTGTATAGTGCAATTACAGTCTTCTGGTTTCTCTTAAGCCAAATACTAGCGAAGACCCAATTCGGAACATTTCCCTCGATATATAGGTAGAATATCTCCAGACTGAGGATAAATGAATTTAAATTCGAATTTATCAGTAAGCACCTGGTCTGCGTGTCCACGATACACCGGGCGAGAGCTGTGGCTTAGCGTATCCTGACTTGATATACGCCGTAGGTTCAAGGGTCAGACCCTCGATCTTAGCCCCGGATTTATCTTGAGCCCACAAACTCAATGCAAGATAATTCGTCCCGTTGTGGTTCAATATGCCTTCCGGAATGGGAAATGCTACTTGCGGACCGATATTGTTCACTGCCAAACGCGGACATTAGTCGAATGTTTACTTCGGACATAGTGATGCTTTCGAGACTTCGGGTGACTTAGGCATCCATGTTTAGAGATAAGGGCGATGAGACTAAGGTTTACTTACCATATTCACCGAATTGCCAGCCATTCACAAATACCTGAACCCGATAGGCCTCCAGTTCAGAGATATCTAGGCGCAGATGTGTGTTGTTAGTGAAGGTCAAAGCCATGGGTATATCCCAGCCCACTGGAATATCTAGATCAAAGGTAGTCACAAAGAACCCGAGGCCGGCTTGATCAAGTCCTTGATCGATTGGAGACCGAGTTTCCCACCCTGTGGTGGGAGCGCCTGGTAAGTGATAGCCTTGTCGTTCAGCGTATAATGCTCCCTCGTTTAAAGGTCCACGGCTCGGGTCCTTATATTTTTCGCCCCCAAGGTTGCCGGTCATCTTCCATGAGATATCAGACGGCTCCAAGTGACCAGTCAGGTTATAATTCAGGATGCCACGTGGGGTTTTCATTTCGTCCGAGTCAACGAAGAAGTTCATGTCAAGTCCCATATGGTCAATCACAACTGTGAAGATGTAGTGTGATCCAGCCTTGAGTCGGGGAATCGAGAATGTCTGATCATGACTCGCTGCGCCCGATGAGCCACGCCAAGAACCCAGGAATGTGGATCCAAGGTACACCGAATGTCCGTAGGCATTTCCACCTTGAGTGGTGATTGAAAAGAGTTCCTCACCTCCATTGGCAGTAAAATTCCCGCGGTAGATTAATGAACCAGCATGGTATCCGTAGTCACTGGCATATAGCGACGTCGGTGTTGTTATCGAACGAGGATTTTTTGATGTATTGAGTATGCACCTCGTCCATAGGTCGTCGGCATAGGATCTTCCAATTTCGGGGAGGGTGTCGATGTACTTCCACTTCATTGTGCGAAGATCGAGGGATTGAATATTAGGCTTTTCATAATTCACCATGGCCGATAGACGGTTGTTCGTTCCACGCTTTGTTTTCAATGTCTCCCCGTTGAAAGAAATTCGCTTAACACCTGCTGGAGCCCCTGCCAAGACCTCGATCTTTGTAGTTTGATTCACGTCACCGCAGAGGTTGATAGTTCCGTCATCAATAGATACGTTGCGCATGAGGTATCCTCCACTTACAATAAGCGGCGACCCTTTGCGGTACGGCGTCACGGAAGTCGAAAGTGTCGAGTTAAGTACCCAGTAATTATATGCTTCATTCCGCCACAGCAACAGAACTTCTAGTCTGTTCCCAAAGTTGATCGTGCTACGCGTGGAAGTGACCTTCCAGTTCACGATAATGGACTCGTTTTGTTCTCGAATAATGATCCCGTCGTGATTTCCTTCGGTAATGGTCGGCTTGGGGAGACTTGCCGGGACAGCAAACTCATGGGTTTCGCCTTCTCCACCATATAGTATCAATAAAGATCGGTCACTCGAATCAGTCCAATAAAAGATCTCTGCTGACGAATAGAAGAGGTGTATGTCACCAACGATGTAGTCCGCCACATGGATCTTGGAATCGCGTCCAGATAAAGTCAGAGAGTTTTGAATCTGCGGAACTGACACGTTGCCCATGTCTGTTATGGCACTCCAGTGGTAGGAAGTCGGTGTATCGGACATATAATTACCGTGACGAACAATATAGAATGAAGTGCCAGAACCTTCATCGACCAAAGGAGTCACAGCAAGGTCCCTGGCATCAGTGAATATTCCATAAGACCCATTTAGTGGTTCACTGGTCAAGTAGGCCGGCGAAACTCGAAGAAAGTTGGCTTCAAGCTTAGCCTCGCTGTACTTTTCTCGAGTGATTTGACGGTCCTCGCTAATTGCGGACCCAAGGTCATAGGAGCTGTATCCTAGAGGATGTCCCAAGTTTCCCCAATTGGTGCCCCCGAAGATCTGCATATCTTTCCCATAAGTTGAAATCCGTTGAGGTATTATCGCCAAATTAAGAATTCCTTACCATATACAGGTTCAGGATTCTGGTTCCAATAGAGTAGACATTTTTGTAGAAGACTCGCTCGAATGCTTCGTTGAGTAGAGCCGCACACATATCAGCTCCGACGCCTCCCCTATTGATTATCAGTCCGTGCAGTGGTGGTAAAATTGCGGTCCATAGTCGCAATAGGCACTATACCAAGGATCTGAATTCCCTCCCTGAAACTCACTGATCATCATCGGCGTCGAAGGGCTTACTGAATCGTGCGTCGTGTGATTCATAGTCCAAGAGGGCAGACCGGTCAGACTGGTCTGAGTGCGGTTCCAGTTGGACGGATTTGTGCCTTAGGTAAGATCGTTAGCCCGCTTCAGTCATAATCCGTTGAGTAGTTAGTGAAAAATATAAACCCACATAGAGGCCCATAGCCGAAGGGATAGAAATCAACGCCATAGACATCCACTGCCCCAGCCCCCGTTCCTGGAGCAAAATCGCCAATGGAAGCCACATCATTGTTGCTGAAAGGAATGTTGACTCCAGCATTGTGGTACTGGTCTTCGATGAACTGCATGTATTCTTTGTTTAAGCAAGAACTCGTGTAGTCTTTACAAATAGTGTACTCGTTCTCGACCTGAACCATAATCACAGGACCGCCCTCGGTGATCTGGTGTTTTCTGATCATATCAGCCATGTCTCGGAGGTAATTTCTTGTCGAATCCAGATAATCTGATGCGTTAGTTCTGAGGGTTCCCTCGGTACGTTGCATCCAACCAGGAAATCCTCCTCCAGAGACCTCTCCATTGATGTACGGCCCCGGTCGCGCAATGAGGTATAGCCCGGTTTTAACAGCGGCGTCAAAAAATGGCTCCAAGTCAAACACACCATCCATTTTCAAGGTCCCTGGCTCTCCCTCCAATAAGGCCCAGTTGATGTAGAAGGATACTGCTGTGAATCCCATCGCTTTCACTTTCTGGAAGATATCCAGCCAAAGACCGGGGACGGGAAGGCGAAATGGGTGGAATTCACCTGAATACACCATGAGACGCTCTCCGCCAATGATCATAGAATTAGAATCCCATATAACGGGATCACTTTCAGCGGTTCCTTCTCTTGGTTTCAGGCTGGAAACCTTGGAATAGGCATTGCATACCTGCGCGAGCAGGAGTAAAGGTGATACACTTTCTTTCCACGGAAGCAACATCTTAGCTGAATTGTACTGGTGTGAAACAACAATGAACTTGTAGCGCGAGGGTCATTTATGTATTTTTTAGCGTAGATAGGGTTATGAATGAGGAAGAAGAATCCTTGCCCAAGACTTCCCCGCTTTCAACAATTAGCGTTGACGCATCCATTGGTGTAAATTCTTATGGGGCCAGGTTACCTTGAAGCGTAACATGGAGCAAGAAACAGGAGGAGCAAAGATATCTAGTCTTAGTGGTGTGTCAGTGCCTCAATGCCACTTGCGGCTTACGCATGTTACCGTTGCCCACATGGCATAGAACTTGTAAATCACTATCAGTAACTGCTAGGTATAAAAAACCACTAGGCCCTTTAAAAATGTCACTGCAAAATTCCTTTATTGATGGAGGATAATAGTTCGCCTCTCTGGCAGATGAATGCTTGGTGTCACCACAGATTGGGTGGTCCCGCGGCAGATTGTGTACTTGTTTCTCACCTCCGTCGAATCGGACCGATGAAATTTCACTCGATGTAATCCCTTCAGCGTAGGAAGTCTCTCTCTCCATTTGATGAATTAGGCCCACACCACTGACACAGGCTGAGGCCTACAGACCTAGATCCGTCAACCAATGAGATGGTCAGATCAGCGTCGGCAGTGAGCACCCTCCGCTGTCGATCACAAGGCCTCCTCCTAGGTGGGCCCGTGTCCATCATAACAGCAACCCCGGATTTGTGTCACTCCATATGGAAAACTTTAAAAGTGAATAAACAGGGATCAAATTGGGGGACTCCACAAACTGGATCATCAATAATATGACTGTCTTTTACTTGGGTCCAATATGTAGAGATCAGGCTGGATGTCAACCTACACATAACGACCGCCCACCCGGGAATTTTCCTTTTGGGGCGGGCTTATACCCTTTGCCGAGATTTGCCAAGATCCTACCACGTTGTCGTTACCAGTGTTCCATATCTACTCAAGGCATGACATCTTACTAGAAAGTACTCATGGAGAAATATGATAATGAAATCCAAGGCATTGGTAGAATTTTGAATGGCTATGCTAATTAGATTCGCTTTCTTTGCTCAGATGAAGCTGGGTTTATTCCGAAATGTTTTCTTTTCTTCAGTTTATTACGTATTCGAGCGTTACGCAACATGCTAGACTGTGAAAAGCCGTTAGAGTACAATGATTTTCTCCAGCTACAGCTCTACACTAATTGGAGAAGTGCAAGTGAGAAAGAACCAAGTTTAAATAACCATATGATCTACAGAGTATATGCGTGTACTTCAGATGCAAGCAAAGTTTACTCTTGAATGCTCAGTGACGCTAATATGTCTCAATTTCTTTTTGCTAGCTCCAGTCTTAGCCAGTTGAAAAATTTCTGTCCTTCTCTAACTAGTCACACAAACTTTTGGGCAACTATGGCGGTGTCGTGCATTATGTATCAGAGAATTTGAATGATCAACTGGCTGAAATGCAGACTAACCTCGGTCCAAAAGTTACTAATTCCTTATGATTGTCTACGAAACTACTAAGTGCCTCGATGCTTCGGAACTTTCTGGACGAAAAAGACAAACAATTTGCTAGAAATGTTGACGTAGTGCAGAAACACAATTCATCTAGTTCTGAGACAAAAACACAACTGGGGTCGGAATGCCACCCTGGAAGGACCGGATTGACATAGTTTGAGATATTGATTGACACACATGAAATATATGCCATCAGCAACACGGCGCAAAAATTGTTTCTGAGAATTTTGTCTATAACGTCCGTTGAATAGAGAATACAGAGCCATACTGACCTAAGTCCCAGTGGTACACATTACATAGCCATGGAATGTAGTTACTACAAGTCTGGTCCACTGTCGGCCAGGTCCAAAATCCGTAAAGAAATTAGAAATAACCTGGGATAACAGAATGTAACCGTTTCCTCAAAGGTTACTTAGGCGCTCCGTCGTTCTGAATAGAGATTGACGTACAGGATGTACCAACGTAAATCTCGCCGAACAGAGCCACTGCCCTGCCCCAATCGGAAAATATTTAAGCAGGAAACTTAATGCAAAAGACTGCAGTACTACCCCATAGCATTAACAAATTAGTAACTACTCCCTACCTGTATTTACTCACACTGACCAACAGGCTGGGCGCAACGGTGCATAGTTATTTAACTAATCATACTTTTTCATGATAGGTGGCTCTCGGCTTATTCTACGTAATTTTACCTGGGAGTTCTCCTTGGCCAGGAATTACGCTATTTCCTTCATCCGGCCGTATTTACGGCCCTCTGAGTAATCTGCGCATGCCTGCCGTTGTACTGATGTACTGATACCCGTTCTAAACGATTGGCCTGTCCTGATAATTTCTGATGCATGATGGACACTGCACCTTTGTTTCTCCATGCAAAGTCTGCCAGCTTCTAAATCCGCCGATGCAGTCCGCTATATGACCTAACCCTTGTATTATTTTTTATCGGAAATGAATACTTCCCCTTTAATGTTAGGTTTATGGCTGGAAACCTCGAGCAGTGGATATATGAAGGGAAATATGCATTGGATCCACGCAGAGCCACGACTCCTTGACAGGGACGCTATCAGTGACCGTCCGGAAGACTCGGCAGTGTTGCATTTGACCGTTAGGGGATGAAATGTTTAAAAGAGAAGAAAACACGAAAGGACGACAGGAGCTTTCAGTGGATTTTACGTAGGCTTACCAATAAAGAACTAAAAGAACACGACAAAGGTTCGTCCAGCACTAGCCCCACCACTTACGAATACAGTCTTCTGCCCCTTCTGCCGCGTACTCTTGTCTACGGGACTTGTAAGTAGATCTGTCTAAAGCCGTATCGAAAGGAAAGCCATTTTTTATTGAAGTTGCGACGATGCAGCGCTATACGTATCTCACCGTGGATTGGACTTTTTTGGGAGATAGCAGGGCTTGTTTTACGCCGGATGTAAAATCAGATCATACGTGTTCTAAAAGCCTTGCAGTCATCCCAGTAGAGTTATCATATTCTTTCCATTTTCGAACAGAGCTCATACTGACCAAACTCAGAGCTATCTTATCCAGCCAAGAATTAAATGGTCATCGTCCAAGGCACCATTTTATCAACGAAATTTTAGATCAAAGCTCTACTCTCGAAGGTCAAGTTTAACAATTTATCATATTTAACAGGCAAAAACAGAACCTCTTCGGAGGTCGATTTAGTGGCCTGTTCATTTCCAAATTTTACATTATTGATTGGGCCTGCGAGGACTCAAAAAGGTCCCGTTCATAAAACTGACCTGGGTGACAAATCTATCAACTGGAGCATTTCGAACATCATACAAAATCTTGATTTTTGCATAGGTCATAACGATCAAAATCTACTAATTTCATTTTGAGTTCTGTTTTTGTTTGAAACATCCCAGGCTGCAGGATGAAATGAAAGAACATCCAATCTTCGCGATAGTAGAGGGGAAACAGGCCACTAGTCGTGGTAGCTTTGGTGGCTTAATCTGCCTTAAACGAACAGACGAATAGTAAGGACAATACTACAGGGGCATTGTGGGCATAAGTCAATGGCTCTTTGGGTATATGCCACATTACACTACCGAATTCTGGCTTTGACCCACGTAGACTCAGTGATTGGAAAACAAAGGCTTGACAAGATTACTCCGTGGAAATGTTGAAATCTGTACCTTTGTGTCATCCTCTTCAGAGCCTGTCACCAAATGTAACATCTCGCAAAGAGGGTTTAGTGTATGTAAGATCAGAATGAGGGTGTAAATCTGTGCTAGATCCTTAAGTCACTTCATTCACTTTTTTTGCGTCTACTGGTACATCGTCCACTAATACACAAATTGGGGTATCATCACTTCCTAGGTAATTATGCTGTTTGGCGGTTATCCGACAATCTATTTCCGTGGAATGTCTGCGTCAGCAGCATTCCCAATCCCAAATATCCGGGCCTGTCAAGGTTTGTGAGGGGGGTACGAGTGGGCACGGGAGTACGAGTACGGAGTAGACAGGGTGCGAGTGGATACCGGGGTAAGAGTAGATACGGGGGTACGAGTACGGAGTAGAGGAGGTACGCGTGGACATGTAATGTAACCCCTAAGCTCCTAAGCCATAAATCAGTCAGGTTCTTTAAACTTTCTTACCGGAATGACAAATTCTAGCTAGTTGTTAGTTTGAACTTGGCGCGACCCACCTATTCGCTTCTCCTATGGGTGCACGCCACCCAATTCTGACCAAGACATGTTCTTGGCCAATTTTCGAACACTCAATTAATCAACCAAACTAGCAGTAACCAGCTAGATTATGTGATAATTGAAGAAAAAGAGCATTCCTTTCTCATTGTCAATTGCCCTTTGGGTGCTATCCTGAGTGCGCTGGGAGGATTTAAATCTGTGCCCTTTCGAACTGCTTATCAACAGCTTCTCAGCAGCCTTACCCTTCTCCCTTCTCAAATTGACCGATTTGCATCCCACCGGGTAGGACCGTACTTAATTGGTAATTTACCAGGTATCTAAAAAGGACGACCTCCTTCGGTATAAAGAATTCCTGCATCCATGCAGTAATGATCTAAGTTTGCTAGCATCGATACTCGGCTCAAGTAACTATCTGGTGGAGACTTGTACCATGGCAAGAAAGTGTCGTTATTATCGCCTATGTTATTGCCATCTAAATGCAGGAAGGTCAGCTATCTATGATTGTGGCTTTCTCTGTCATCTCGCCCGTGTTACCGTAGCAGTAGCGATATCCCTCTAAGACAGAAGAAACAACCTTTATGATAAATTCTAGTGTCGGCAGTTCATACTACAAGGCCCGCTGGTTCAATTTGGGGAGTAACAGGCGACCAGCGGCCCCGGGTGGAAGTAAAGATTTCCCGGAATCCCGACGGCTTAAATAGCGATATATAAGACTATGCCTCAAATGTTTCCCGGTAATTAGTTATTCATCAGTGTAAACAGTGTGTCAAGCAATTATTTGCCTCTCAAGATGCTAGGAAACGCATTTTCGTTATACGCCTTGCTTGTCACTGGATCTCTTGGTGAGTGAGAAATTCCCGCCCGGCCCTTTGACGCAACTACTGACAGTCCCTACCTTTCGCACCAAGCTTCCTATCTCCCAACTATCCCATCCATGCCCTTCAACGTGACAGGCCAAGGTACCTACTCGCTCGACAGGATCCAAAGAATCGTCGTAGACACACGTTACGCCAAATCATTTAACGACAAAGGTCAATCATTGATACCTCCAAGTCTATGGGAATTCGCAACAACGTTTCAACAGGACCTCGCAGATTCCCTCGGAATAAAAGTTCAATTAGAGGAGGGCCGAATCTTGGAAAGCAATTCTATATTCATCACTCTGGACCCAAATGGCACATACCTTGACGCTGCTGAACGAGCTACTCTAGAGGGATATTCCATCGCTGTCAGAACACATGGAATTCAAATTACTGGGGCGAGCGCCCTTGGTTCCTGGTGGGGCACGCGAACTCTCTTGCAGATGGCGATCATCAATAATAAGAGACTCGCCTACGGTGCAGGAAGTGACGCCCCAGGCTGGGCAACACGGGGAGCCATGGTCAGTTTCTTTAAGGCAACATAGTGGTTTTTTTGCTCTTGCACTCACCCATCTCCTAAGCTCGACTGTGGCCGTCACTACTACCCACCTGAGTTCTTGATTGAAATGTGCTCTTACCTCTCATTTTTCAAGCAAAATGAGTTCCACGTACACCTAAGCGATAACCTCTTCATAAACTACGACACGTATACAACTGCCGAAGAATGGGCGTTATACAAAAGCTTCCGTCTCTTGAGCGATGATCCCGCCGTCGCCGGACTCAACCAAAATGAAAATGAATCATATACCAAAGATCAATTCGATAGCGTCCAAAGACAGTGCGCTAGCAGGGGCGTGACTATCATCCCGGAAATCGAAGCTCCTGCACACGCTTTATCAATCACAACCTGGAAGCCACAACTGGCATTAGATGGTGACCCAACCCTGATCAATATTTCTCACCCTGATGCCCTGCCGACGATGAGAACAATCTGGAAGACTTTCCTGCCTTGGTTCCATTCTAAAACGGTTCACATCGGAGCCGACGAGTATAGTGCCGACCTTGTTGCAGATTATGACCGGCTAGTAAACAACCTTCAATCTTTTATCGAACAGGAATCTGGAAAACAGGTTCGAATCTGGGGCACATTCACGCCTTCGAGTGGCTTCAATGTCTCGAAGGATGTGGTTATCCAACATTGGGCGTCATATGACGATAATCCCTATTTCGATTACATCAAAAACGGATGGAGCGTGATAAACTCTGACTATGCATTCTATGTGGTCACAAAATGGTCGGGCTACTTCCCTCAGCGCATGAACAAGACTTTGATATTCAATGGCAACCCGATGGGCGGTGCCTATGCGCCTCACATATTTGACATCACGAATGCGACAAACAACCCTTCAAGGAAGGACCCAAGTGTCGTTGGGCATGTTGCAGCCCAATGGAGCGACTTCGGGCCCATCCCATCAACATATCTAGAAGCCTATTACGGTTGGAGAAATGAGCTTCCTGCAATGGCGGACAAGCAGTGGGGAGGGCAGCTAATCGAGAGTGAGTATAATGACGTGCTGGAATGTCTGATTGCAAAGGTGCCTGGTCAGAATTTAGATCGCCGGGCGAAGTCTAAGACCAACCTAATATTCAGCTACCAGTTTTCCGAATCTAGAAGCCACGCAAACCAGATCAAGGATAGCTCTGGCAACGGCTACACTGCCATCTCCCATGGCTGCTCTATCCATAGCAATGCTCTTCATCTTGATGGTTACTGCTACCTGGAGACGCCGCTATTTAGCAAAGGCCGCAATTACTCCCTTTCATTTTGGATCAATCCCTCTTCAAGTTCCGGTGTTATCTTCTCTGGCCCAGACTCAGCCTTATTGAATGGCGAAGGGTCAAATCCCAATGTCACGCTAGTGACTGGCAATAACTCCTACACTCTCAACTACAGCCTCCCCGTCAACACCTGGACACAGGTAGCACTTTCAGGATTGGGTGATTTCACATACTTGACGGTTTTGGAGCAGAACTCGGCTTTTGCTAAACAAATGGAATTCCTGACAATCTTTCATCCAAATGCTGTTTCATCAGCACGAGGAGTCATGGACGTGTGGGATAAGATTGCCATTGAAGCACCATTAAAAGAGATAGGGAGAGGCATTCGAGGCATGATCAAGAACATCACTCTCCTGGCTTAACCATGACCTCCTGTATTTCTTGTCTTAGGAATCTCAATCAAGATCCTATTGTTCCTACCCAGATATGGATTCATCAGAAAAATATGTTTCATGTGTCTGAAATGACCAGGACATTCATCCTTTCCAGTAAGACAGTATATACATCTAATTCGAATTCTAATAAAATCAGGGTCTTGACTATAAGATAAGGGAGAAGAAGTGGGGCTAGAGTAGCTGAGGCGCGCTGTAGCCCTGAAACAAAGCAAATACGCAAAGAAAATCATAAATTTAGTATCGGATTTGCGCAATGTGCATAAGTTCTTGTGTGCACGGAAGCAACTGTGTACAGAAGAGGCAAAATGTTCAGCAATCTTATCATGGATCCACAATTGCGAAAGGCTGACTGATCAAGAGAGGGGAAAACTAGACAGATGGTCGAACTGTGGAGGGTCGACACGGAATGTCCAAATTTGGTGTTTTTTTCCCCTCTCATTAAACTTAAGAAGCCCTTATGGCTACCCCGCAACTTAGACGTGTCAATGTATGTGTGAAGGGCTGAAGTCGATTTGATTCAATCTGACTAGGCCACGAACTGTTTACAACAATCTTGGGGAAAGGAAGGGGAAGGGGCGTTCGTGTATGGCTACGACAATATGATACCGCATATGGAAGATAGTGTGGGTCCGATGAGGAAGCAGGCAAAAGCAAGATGAAGGCCATGGTCACATGGCCACTCCAAACACCATACTAAACGTAATGTTTAACAACTTAATATCTCAACGCTCAAGACTGATGACCTAATCTAAAGATATCTTAACGTAATTCCCGGCCGTCCGGATCACCCTCCCACAGTATAGAATTTCAAAATCGATCATCTCCATCAACACCCATAGAATTTCCTACTACTAACGATTCTTACATTGATTGATCCTATGCCTAATTACCCCACACCCACTACACGTAGGAGGTGCCCTAGTACGTGGTGGATCTGCCTGACTAGGCAATTCGCCCTGTGCATGCGATACTACCCTATCAGCTTCTTCCTGCTGATTTAGCTACTCCACTAGTTATAGACCTTCTTTAACCGATAGACCACCCTTATAGGGTATTAGTCTATGCGACCGGTTGCGTTTCTGGCGCTTCTTCTTATTCGCTACGCTTAGATTAGTGTTCTCTTGCGTGAGTAATGCAGCGCTATGTAAGGATAGATAACTACCCTTAATCATCTGATCTACCACGGTTTTGATTAGGCTTAGTGGGGTTTACGACCGTTGGTTTAGTAGATTCTTTAATAGAGAAGCTTACTTAAATAGCTGAGTAACGGTTCTAGGCTTTTTTGGTGTGAATTAACTAGATCTGCTGCTTGTCTGCTACTTAGTGGTGTAGGGGTTCGTAGAGAGATATGCAGCTTTAAAAGGACCCTCTCTGGGTTAATTAGATTTAGACCGGTCGCGACGAAGCTGTTTTGAATAGTACTTATGTCAATATATGGATATTATGGGGTCATGTGACGAAAGACCCACTTACATGGCCCCTTACTACTTCTAGATCTTGATCTATAAGATCTACCAGATTGATCCTCAACGATCTCGCATTGAATTGCCTACCTAGGCAGGAGACTATCTAACACTCCAATACTCTATCCTTTCTTATATGATCTTTTACCGTGTTTCTAAGATATAAATACTGCCATGTTTCCTAGTTATATTAAATCAAATTTATCATCCCTATTGATCTTCTCTTTTGATCAGCGATACTCTTCCACAATCTTAGTACTTCTTCTTATAAGAAGTACGCTCGACCGTTATACTCATTATTAAGTCCTCACACAATCTTAGTTCTTCGATAAGAACGTAAGACTTTTATACTTAGTATTAAGTCCTATCCTTTATATATAAACTATCTTCTTATGTATATTACTACGACTTTATGGTCACTGCCTAAAGTCCGATAGTTATAAGCCCGACGCCTCTACTCTAACTATTTAATTAATCTTCTCTTACTTTACCCCTACTCTCGCTTTACTTCTTATACAGAAGCGATAGATTTAACTACTTAATAAGCTACCTAGCTTTACTAACGTAATTCCCGCCCGTCCCGAATACCCGCCCGTCCCGAATACCCGCCCGTCCCGAACACCCGCCCGTTCCGAATACACTCTCCAAAATCGCGTCCCCCTACCTATCTAGCTAATTTAACTACCTACTATAACACTAATTCGCCCTGAATCTCGGTAGAAACTAGCTAATTAAGAGGGTAAGATCCTATTAGCTCTTAGTGATCTTTAAAATAGCCGAATCAAATCTCTACGCGTAGCAGCGAAGCTATACGAAATACCGCTTACTACACTAAACGACCGCGTCTACGGCTAATTATCTCGCGTTAATTCTCGCCTATCGGGCTATAAACTAACCTAATTCGAAGAGGATTCCCTTACTAAATAGATAATCTCTATAGATTCACGTAGAGTAGCGCCTAGGCCCTCTATAGTGCGAGAAATAGCTAATATCCTACTAGCTACGCGTAGAAACTAACTACTAACTACCGTTAGTAAGAATTAGCTATTAACCTTCGTTAACCGTTGCCCCGAGCTTCGTACACGCTTCTCACGAAGATACGATTACTAAAGAGCCCTAAATGAAGACCCGAAATCGATTTAGTAGTGATTCGCGACCGTATAAAGTGTGATTAACGAGAACGGTATATAACTAGAGGATATCTATAACTTTAATAAGATAGGCTTTATAATAGGCCTTATATCTTCGTAGAAAGTAGTTATAAGAGCTAAATACTATAGTCGGAGGTCTCTTCTATAACTAGGAAATCGCGAATAGGTTACTACGATCGAAGTAATCTACGTAGATAGCTATTCACTACCGCTATATATAGTATTTAAAGGCAAAGTGGCTATTATAGGATAGTTTAACGAAAACCTACCGAAAGACTAGCGAATCGAGGTCTCTACTAACAGTTAGACTACCTATAAGATTAGTCTACGCTAGTTATAAAAGATCTTATCAATATATAGATATTATGGGGTTATATAATAGAAGATCTACTACCCCTCATTACTTCTAGATCTATCAGATTAATCTTTAACGATCTTATATTAAATTATATACTCGTATTAAATTACCTACCTAGGCAGGAGACTATCTAATACTCTAATACTCTATCCTTTCTTATATAATCTTTTACTATGTTCCTAAGATATAAATACTGCTATGTTTCCTAGCTAAATTGAATAAAGTTTAACATCGTTGTTAATCAAGGACAGAAATCCTCGGTACTTCTTCTGCCACTACGCCCTATCTTAGTCGGTTAATCTTCACCCTACACGATTATAGTGCTTTGACTAGTACGTATAATCACCCTACGCGACCGTGGTACTTTCGCTAGTACGCACTGTTAAGATCCACGACTTTATGGCCACCGCCTGGAGTCCGATAGATCTTTATACTATACACAAATTCGCGTACGAGGTCGGTTTTAGCTATTAATTCTTAACGGTTATAGTAGCTACCTTATACCCTAATTCGACCGAATCTATATAGAAAACGATATTATACCTCTTTATATACCTACGTATTTATCGTATCTACTATAACTACTAGATATTAGGTATTTTGTAGTGGTTAAGCGCGCGTATAGTCGCTTCGTTAGTAATCTTACGTATAGAGGATATAACTATATCGATAAGCACGATTTCTTAGTGGATTACTAGCGCGCCTAGCTAGAAGCGTTCTAATTAACTAATCCTACTATTAAAAATAGCTTCGTAGCTAGCGGTCTAGTACTATTAGATACTAAGAGAGTGCTTAATAAGCTTAGTATCTCTCTACGAACTCTAACACTACTAAATAGCTAGCTAAGTAGTAGATCTAGCTAATTTACACTATAAACGCCTAGAACCGCTACTTAGCTATTTAAGTAAGCTTCTATATTAAAAGATCTACTAAAGCGACGGTTAAATAGCCTACTAAGTCTATCAAAACCTATCCTAGACTAGCTTATTAAGGGTACCTACCTAGCGCTTTATAGTAGTGTAGTACTAGTAGAGGATAACACGAATTTACGTATAGCGAATAAGAAGATAGTTAAAAAGCGTAGTCGGTTAACTAAGAGGATACCCTACGTAGAGGGTTTAACTATTAAAGAGGCTATATAGCTAGCTAAGTAGCTAAACTAGCTAGAGGAAGATAATAGGGTAGATTCGTATATACAGATTGAATTACCTAGTTAGCTAATTAGGCCTATAGCTAGGGCTCTGCCTAGGTATAGTGGATATAGGGAGATTAGTTATAGGATTAATATATGTAAAAATCGCTATATCTAGTTTAATTAATAGGTACTGGTTAAGATAGGCGATCTTGAATTTTTTTAATGGAGAGGGTGTTCGGAACGGGTAGGTATTCGGGACGGGCGGGAATTACGTTATCTACTAAAATCTTACATATACTAGATTCCCTAGATTACTACGGTTAAAGACTATATAATCGTATATAATCTATAGAAATACGCCGATCCGGACTAAGCTACTCTGTCTACCTCGCCCTAAGAACTAATTAAACTATAGATCTCTAACGTCGTTAAACGATCTACTAATATATATATAGGATGAGGGTTATGGCACGCGGATTTGGTGCACCACACGCGGTCTTGCATAACACTAGTTCTAATTAGGAATCCTTTCCGCATCGCTCAAAATGATACATTCGATATCTACATAACCCTTGCTAAGCCCTTATGTATGTATTTCCCTATACATAAGCGCTTCTCGCGAATACTCGAATGTCGTTAGCGACCATAGATGCCGATATTAAATCATCACGTGACACTATAAGGTTGTTATTATTAATATTTACCCTTATATTCTAAGTACCTGTCAACATATAGATGTTATAGGGTCACATGACGAAGGACCTACTCATATAACCCCTCTCTATATCTAGATCTTCTTTATAAGATCTATTAGATTGATCCTTAACGATCTCGCATTGAATTGCCTACCTAGGCAGGAG